ACGACATGAATTGGTTTGGTCACAACCTCATTATCTTAGTGAAAGGAGTATAGCGGAGTCGCGGAGAGCTAAAAAGTAATAATTATGAATTATGATCAATATGCTGTAATGTACCTGTTTTGCCTATATTTTACGCCGCGCAACACATTATGTTAGTGTAATGTATTACAAATGTATTTGTATTCATTGGATTTTTATCAGTATTTACTACGCCTATTATTAGAGTAATCTATAATCTAGAATGCAGATAAAAGTATGAGTTGAACAATCACAATTTTTTTAAGAGTTGTAATTTTTTACGGGCAACAAAGTGCGTGGGATCCAGATGGCTGTCTTATAAACAAATAAATTATAGTTCGTGTGGCTATAATAATATAAATAATTTAAGTATTATTTTAGATCGCATACATATACAAATATATTATAAATTCGCTTATTATAATTATATTTTATATTTTTTGTTTGAATAAAGGTACAGTATACTCGCTCTATTTTTAGTTTTTAGACTTTAGTACTAACATTATTTATATTTAAGTATTTTATACCTTAGGTCAAAACTCAAATTCTATAACAGTTGAATAAATATTCAAATTGTATTTTATTAGGTATGGTTTTATAATAAATTAAGGTTTATGGTGCAGTCAATGTATATTTTATTTGGATTTGATAGCTTTACGTTTATTATGTCATATTAGAACTATTTGGAAATGACTTCTCTTATTATAACAAATAGTTATAATATTATAACAAGTTTCATCGTCAATAATAATGAAACATTTTTCTAAATTTACTCTAGATACAATTTGTTTTAAAAGAGTCAATAGCGTTTTGACTTAAGGGTCTATATAATATATTTGTTTCGATTCCCTAGGTTTTCAAAAACATTTCTCAAATATGTATCACCAAGACGTGCCCTGTATCGTAATAATTCTCGGAAATTTCCTTCATTAACATTCTCACTTAGTTCTATTATTTGTTGATCAGAATCTTTATGTCCTCTGAGTACTAGTTCTTGTCTTCTGCATCTTATAGCTTCAATAAAGGGAAAATCTACAAGTGATGCCCATTTTTTTCTTAATAAATATGTGCACGAACATCTTGATCAAAATAATAAAGTATAAGTATATTCCTAGATATTAAGAATGCATTTGATTGTGTGAGCCACCAATTATTACTTAAGAAATTAAATTATGCTGGAATTCGAGGTATTGCAAATAAGGTAATTAATTCATTTCTAAGTGACAGACATCAAATAGCCAAAATTAATGATAAATTAAGTCAATCTTTATTAGTCAAGCATGGTGTAAAACAGGGAACAGTCTTGGGTCCGATATTTTTTATTCTATATATAAATGGTTTACTTAATATTAATACAGAAGCTGATATTATGTGTTTTTCTGAAGACACAGCTGATATTCTTATCAATGATAAAAATATAGAGGAACTATATATTATAGCAAATGTTATTTTTAATACTATAAAATCATGGTTTAATAACAATGTTCTTGAGTAAAATCTAAATATAACCAAACACATTGTTTTTAGTGTAGCTTCTAAGTACTAACTAATATTGATATTCAGAACAATTTAAAAATCTGTGAGCACTCAACACTGTGCCTAGCGAATAATGATCTAAACTGTACATGTGTATGTATAGACAACGTTAATTGTATAATGTATCCAGGATTATATATTGATTGGCGTTTAAAATGGAAAAATCACATTGAAAATGTAATATCATTAAGTCATACATTCTTTTATATTTTTCGTAACCTTAGATCTATACTCGATAAAATATAATTAAGAATAATTTATATCTCACTCGTTCAATCAGTTATTACGTATGGTATTGAGAGTTGGAGTTGTGCTTATGATACTTATTTAAACAAACTAAAAACAACTATGAATAAATAAATATTTATATTAAAGTTTCCTAGCTACACAAGTACTGATACTAAATATAAGGAATTAAATGTATTTAATTTTGATAAGCTGTTTAAAAAAAGGGTATTATTACTTGTATAAATAAATATAACCATAGGAATTTTGTACCAATATGTATATAATCATAATGTAAATACTAGATTTAAGAAAAATGTAAATATTAATATTCCTAGATGTAAATCTTTTGGTTTCAAAAGCACATTAAATACTGCTATTACTCTTTGAAGTGACTTAAAAATTTATATTAATATCTTCATTAATTGTAATCATTTCAAATATAACATATTAACACTACTCTAAGTTCTAATGTATAATTATTAAATCTATGCATTGTTTTCATTTATTGTTATTATATAACTTTTTTTTCTGCTATTATTTTATTGTAACTATAATTTTTGCTTTTTTCTTTCTCTCTCACATTAATCTATTCTTTTCTGTTTTAGTCTATTTATAATTATGTTTAATATTTAAATTTCTATATTAAGAACTCACCACCTTCAATACAAGCACAGCTTATAGAAGGTTAGCAGACTACAATATCTATTATTATTATATTTCAAGTGTATTAATTGTTTGTTTGCAAATAAAAAAAAAAAAAAAATGGCTAATACTAAACACTAATCTATAGTATTTGATAATAGCCAATAGGCTTAATACTCATACAAATTTCGATGACTTGTCTAGCTCCAGTGTTTGGGAAGTTCCTTATAAAAAGGAATACGTTCCGTTCCTCGTTCTTTTTTAAAAAAAAAATAATTCGTTCTTTTTTGAGTTCTAAATAAAATAAAAATTCTTATTTAATCATTAATGTTTTTTTTCAATATGCATACTTCTTTAATTTGTAATTATAATACCTACTTATAATTTATATTAATATATACCTAATATACAAGTAGGTACATATTTTATAATTTTATATTTATTGGCGATTGAAAGCTTATCAATTATCAGGCTGGCGGGGGGGGGGGGTGGATCTGTATTTCCCTGGACTTGAAGTAACACAAGTATAGTGGCTCTGGTCTTCAAACTCAAGGGACCTCCCGTCGCCTATCTGTTCCGGTCGCCAGCCACGATGGCCAGTTAAAGTAAAATAAGTAAATTTTTTTTGAAGCCTTTTTGAAATACATAGGTTTCCCCAAAAAAATATGATTATTTATTTATTATTTATTTTAATTGAGCGAATAATGAATATACCTAGTCTAATTAGGTACTCAACTATAGTCTATATTTCACCTTAATAATGACGTGATTCATAATATTATTCACCCAAAAAATTAATTTGACACTTAACTTGTTAAAATATGTAAAAAAAATATTTTAACTTTGTTATAGTTGCTGCGCGTGGAAGTCCATTAGCTTTAAGCTCAAGCGCATACAATTAAAATCGCAAACTTTGGAAGGCTATAACTTCTAAAATAATAGTTTCCGGGAAAAAAAAAATTACACCATCGTTTTAAGCATAAAAAAGGTGCTCTGCTGTACAGTAGGTTACAAGTGGATCACTGTAAAATGGATGGTATTAAATTTGAATTCAATGATATAATATAATTGTATAAGAAAAACGATTCTGCGCGGAGACGGTATGCCAGTCTAGGTATAAGACATATTATGTACTTATCTATGGTCTTAAAAAAATGACCTATAATAGGTACCTATAATAAATTCCAAATTTATATCATATCACAATATCCATTAGGTACTTATAACGAGTTATACTTCAACAACAAACCGTGATACTATCATAGATATATAATAGTGTACTTAAGAAGTTTCAAGTACTCACGAATGATATTATACAATCGTCAATCACAACAAAATAACTAAAATAGTTATTCTAGGTTTTTATTATGTCATTACTCATTTCGTCCAAATTTGAATTTGAATTCGACGTTTAAATACTTATAAAAAAAATTGTGCCTATGTATTTTTAATATTTTTCAACTGATATTGTAACAATATATCAGGAGCCTTGTATTAAATTTTTACACTTTTTGGCCCAACAGATAAAACTTTATTGATATTCATAGAAAAAAAAACTAAAAAAATTGAAAACTGAAAATGTCCGTAAACAGCTCAAAAAGAGTCAAAATATTTTCAAAATTGTATGGTGTATAGGAAATGCTAATATAAACATTCAGTGAAATTTTCATGTATCTATAGTTATTCGTTTTTGAATTACAACAAAATAAGGAAATCTCTACATGAGAAATCGAGTGAATATCCAATGTTGTAAAAATTTGAATTTCAAACACTCATAAAAATTTAATTTGACTTTCTTATGGACATTTTTTTTATGATAAAGGTAGATAATCGTATAAGGAGTCTTGTATTACATTTTAAAACCTTGGATTTAAAAAGAAAAATTTTTACGAATTCTTAACTAAAAATAATTTGCTAATTTTTGTGATTATTCCATATTTGTCAATTTTTGAACTTTAAATGCTTATAAAAAAAAATTGTGACTAAGGATTTTTAATATTTTTCATCTGCCTTTGAAACAATATATTAGGAGCCTTCTATTAAATTTTCAAGTTTTCGCAACCAACAAATAAAATTTTATTGATATTTCTAGAAAAAAAACTAAAAAAAAATGAAAAATGAAAATGTCCCTAAACCGTTCAAAATAAATCAAAATATTTTGAAAATGTTTTCGTGTATAGAAAATGCAAATATAAACAACCAGTGAAAATTTCATGTATCTACGGTCATTTGTTTTAAAGTTACACCAAAAACCAAATTCAATTTTCTGAAAAATCGATTTTGCGTAAAAATTCCCGTTTTTCCTTAATTTTTCTTTTGTTTTTCTTGGCGCTTTTGAAAAGTACTGGGAATTTTGACCTCCCCAATGCACCAACGATATTCACTTTCCAATCGAACAAGATACTGAAGTCGAAAATCGAAGCATTATTTCGACTACTTATCGTGTACACAGACACAAATAAAAATAAAAAAAAAAACACACATCATTGTAAAATCAATACATTCATCGTTTCACTCAGAATCTAAAATAAGAGAATATTAGGACTATTACCTATAGTTGTATCTAAGTGAGTATATTAAATTTTACTATTTATTTCTCCATCAACAATAGGCCATCTTTCTAAAATAAATTCCCTGGCATTAACTGGTTGCCGATTCTCAACGACCGGTTGTATTTCAGGAAGTGGAAGTGGTTGGGCAATATGCATGGGTCTGACTACTCCAAAATTTGGGGTAACATGTTTAGTACATGCCAAAAATTCAGATACTGTGTAACGCCCTTCAGCTAACAGCCTAGAAGCCAAATCGAGGTTTCGCTGGTGGTCTATCCAGATTTGCCGTTGTGGTTCCCTGACCTGGATACCATCAATTGCCAAATTGTAATCGGCCAATACACCACTTGAGTATGTAATTAACCCTTCTGCAAAATTTAAATGTTTTATATAACCTATCATGGTAGATTATATTTTTTTGTTAGACTTTTACGGTGCCTTATAGTGATAATTAATTTAAATTTATGAAGACAAAAATGTTTTTATTAAAAACAGTATGTACAAGGTAAATTAGTAAAAATTATAAAATAAATTACTTAAAAACACCCATGGTTCTGGTTGATGCATATTACCCATGTGCATGCGGAGGTGTTGATGGCTAACTTCCAATACGTTGTTTGTCCACCAAATAACATTGTTTACGGACAAGATGTCTGAATTTGGTCCTGTATATAATGTATACATTATGTTTTTAAATACACTGTAATTGTTATTCATGATTTCTCAATCAGTGTCAGTATTTTACTATTCATATTTAAATTACTAACAACTAAATAAATTAAAATAAATATGTAAATTTAATTTTAAAAAAATTTGTTCAATTACTTAAACAAAGTTCTTTGTTATTAAAATTGACAAACAATTTTACAACTATGCTAAGTAAAACTAAAATGTTAAAATGTAATGCATCATATTCCTATATCATCTTCTTCTAATATTTTTCAGGTTTAACAAACCTTGGAGTACTGGAAATATCTTTGGAATATTCTACAGCTTTCCACTGGCAAACTATTTTCAACATTTTCTGTGTAAAATTGTCTTATAGAAAGAAAGCCTTCCATCACCTTATCCACAGGCAAAAGTGGTAATGCCATTATCATATGTACGATGTCATATGCATTTCGATGCCCGGTACATATTTCTATCATTCCTGTAATACATTTAAGATTATTTAATATATACTTATTGAACCATCAAAAATATTTATAAGCTTACCAAATTCTCCAACTTTTCTCCACAGAGCTTGAGAGCTATGGAACCAACAACCCCTTATCGTAACGTTATTGAAAATTTCTTTCAATGACACCATTGCAGCTCTCTCAAAATCTACAATAATTGTTTGTGGTGTCCACTGTGGCTCAATTTCTAATAGCCATTTAAATAAGGCATTGTAAGCCCTCGCTGTCTTTCTTGACATCAAAGCAAATGCACTTGGGAATCCCTAAAATACAAACATTTTATAATTTATAAAATGTATACACAGATAGATACCTAAGGTTTAAGGTAAGCTGCAATGATTATCACATTATAATATTTGTATACATGAGTATAATTATTTTTAGGTATAACTCACGGTGTTGAATGTTATACCACTTATAACCCATTATAACATATAGCTGTTGACACTCCCGGTTAAATGATGGAGCAACAGCAAATGTACCATCCATCAAAAACGTTGATCCAGTCCTCAGTATACTGAAAAAGAAAACAAATAGGTTTTATACAGTTATTATAATTTATTTACATAGATACCTATCAAGATAATTCATTTTCTAATTACATACTACATAGTATTTACTTTTTAATTTCTGGTAATACAAACAACATTGTTATCCCTTCTTCGGGGTCAGTGCCTATTTTTCCCATATAAATAGGTACATTATCCATCACTGGAAGATGAACATAGTCTCCAGTCAATTGGTAATGGAAATCGGTCATGGTTTGTGGTGATGTTGGTTGATTAGATTTTCTATGCCTTTGCATGGTTCGTCGATGAGATACAAATGGACCAACATTTTTATTAATGAATTCAGGCATAGAACTTGTCTAAGATATTAATAATATAGTATAAATGATTTAATATTTATTTTGAATACAATGTAGATATATACCTATCAGAATATCACAACTACGTACAATACCTCTGAATAAATCTGATTATTAAATCGATTTCGATTTACTTACTCTATTCCCAATAATTGTTGTTTGGGTTTTTAGTTTTTACATTCGTATATTAAGGGGTATGAATAGTATTGAAAAAATCTATAAAAATGTACTTTTGTATTTCCAATAATATGGTTTATTAAGTGGTTTGAGAGTAAAAACACTTATTATCAATATTAAAGAAGAGAAGTTAATCTGTGCCTGTATAGAAGTCAAATTTTAATATTTGTAATTACTAAACTCAATAATTCAAATTCAAAAAGTAAAATATCATAAGTTTTAGAGTTAAATATTGGACATTGAAAATAAAATATCAAAAATCGACTCCTATACAAGCCTAGATAAACTCCTTCTCTTCAATTTGTATAATAGGTGTTCATACTGTAATGTCACTCAGTAAGCTATAATATTGGAAATACGAAACTAAGTTTCAGTGGTTCACTAAAATTCACATTTGTAATTAGAGTGTAAAATGTTCCGTTTATGACATGTGTGTGCACGTGCGGGTGTGATCCACTATTTATTTTATACACAATCACTCACACTATATAATAATCACTTACTACGCACACATTTACACGACCCGCATGCACACAATTAGAAAATTGCCTTTACCGAACTCCTTAGAAACGGTCGGTATGCATACCCCTTAAGGGGCCTCGCAATGGCATTGATTTAAGGAGAATCATTTAGGCAATTTCTAATCTCGTATAATATATATATATACGTCAAATGCTCTACATGTGTACCATACACGGATATGATATATTATTATTATTGTTATCGTCCGACCAGCGTGTCGCCAAAACTACCGTTGCGCCCCGGTGCAACTCGTTTGCGCACAATCCAAATTGTTTACCTAGATATCGATGACTCGTTTGCGCACAACATAAACACTGCATAACATATATTTTATATTTTTAAATTTGGAATTACCTATTTTCAATAGATGACGAGTATTCCATCGTCTGCATACCATACTTTTTAACCAATCAGCTGTAGCCTGTAAAAGTACCTTTTTATGCATAATATATAAAACGCGCTGCAGTTCAAGCTATTTATATTTTATAATTGTTATCGCCATCGACGCGGTGTGGCAGAACGAATATATAAAGATTTAAAAGTTTTGAATCCGATATGGTGTCGAGCGAAACCGACAAATCTTATAGCGAACGGTAAAAATATACCAATCGGAACGTGAGTATCGCGTTATACGTATTAAATTTAAATACGACCTATTTATTTCTTTTCCGTTTTTTTCTCCGTATAAAATGTATATCCTAAACGGTTATTTCCATTAGACGTCTACAGTTGTAATTTTAAATTTATGTCCTTTTCGCAACGTGATTGCGCAGTAGTACGAGTGTACGACTGTATAATATGTATAATATAATATAATGATATTATATAAAAAGATCGGCGACAATAAATCGCACTCGATCGTCGTCATTATTTAAAAAACAACAATAACAATACAACAACGATGCGACGTATTTTTAGACGCTATTATTTTACCCGAAAAATAACTAGAGGAATATATTTTATGTATAGCTGCAGGTACCTCCAAGCAGTAGCGTATCCAGAATTTTTTTTCGGGAGGGGTTATAATTTATTTTTGTGGAATTTTATCTTAAAATGATTTATTAATGATAACGTTGTTATAATTTAACAATTTTCGGGGGGGGGGGGTTACAACCCCCTAACCCCCCCCTGGATACGCCACTGCCTCCAAGTGTAAAATATGTATAACATATTATTAGGTATATACCTTAAGACCTGTAATTTTAAATGATGATTAAAATACAAGCGTAGGAGCTTACGTTATCTGTACATATAAAATCCAAATACCACTTAGTCACTGATCGCTGTACCTCAAAAACTAGGTAAAGTACGAACTTGAAATTTGGAATAGAGATTCTTCTCATATTTTCACAGTGAAATAAGAAAGGATTTTCCGAAATTCGCATTTTAAACAGGTTCTCAAACAGGGACATTAAGGTTCACGATGGAAATTTGAAATTTTATTTTTATTTATTAATATAGTTGCCATTGGTTACAGTCAACAGTAGAAATTAGTGTTTATTTATTATTGGTTTTGTTCATCGGATCTTAGTACGGTTAGGTTAGGATAGGATTTTGTATGAATTGATCATATTAATCTACCGTAGGTGGACTTAAGTAAAAACGACAAACTTAGTATAACTTTGATACTTCAGAGTTAAATTTTAAAGTTACGTACAAACAGCACGGGGTCTACCGCAGGTAAATTGCCTACCTGTTAATGTACTGCTGCGAAGCAGAATTATTATTCCGGGTAACGAAAAAGTTGAGATAAATTTTGAACACCATACACCGATATTAAATAACGAATTGAACAAAGGTTGAGTCATATAGAGTTGATATATTTAACGGGCAACGAAGTGCACAGGATCAGCTAGTACCTATATTTATAATTTTTAAATATTATATACCTACATTCGTCCGAGCTTCAATGCTGAGTCTGATATATATAACTAATATATGCATGCCGAAAACGACCACTTTCAGATAGTACCTGAAGCCAAGTGCGGGTTCACACTACACTGTGAAGTGTAAAATAATCACAGTTACCACCTGCACAGTTACCAAACGATACTGCAAAGTTGAATGTATTCAATTTTTGACCGTGTGGTTACATTTATGTGCGGAAAAGTGATAGCTAAAATAAAATAATATAATATGTTATCATCAGATACAATATTAATATCATTGGTATTGCATTTTGGTATAAACGTACAAATACGAAATCACTCGACAAGGTGTAGTGTGAACCCGGCTTGAGAGGCCATGAACGACTGCTGATCCTCCGTGATATATATGCTCGTGGTCGGTACCAAAGAAATCTGTACTTCTACGTATTTCAAAATTGTGTAGGACACACATCGTTTGAAATCGATAATTCAAACCGTTGACTCTAATAACCGCACATTTCTGTTCGACAAATCTGGACCAATCTACCCACTTTAAACAGGTTAAGACGGCACACTTTTTAACAGTGCCGTATCCTGCAAACATCACCTCGGCGCAAGGATGTCTGAGATATAAACTATAGTACCTAATATAACCTTTATAATTTTGTTGTTTTATGGTTTTCTGCGTACACAATACACTGCAGCGAGACACGAGTGTTCTATATATTGATCGAGAAAGTATAGTATTATAGTAAACTGCAGTTCTTGTTCTGTGGTAGTTCCTAAATATAGTAACTATATAGTATAGACATTTGGGTGACTTAAGTTGTGCACCTATTCAGTGAGCTTTTAACCATTGTTAATTGCTAGGTATAGTTTAATACTTGGCCTGCATTAGCGTATAATATTGTTATTAAGCAGTACCTAGGTAATTTAAATGGTTGCTATTGGTGTGTTATGTATAATAACAAATACTTGGCAACATAATAATATAAATATATTATACCTGCATTAGTATTTAGTACTCATTTTCCAATTATCGTCATTGAGTTCAGACCTGCAGTAAAGTCC